GGCAATGAGTGTATAAGTTGAGAAAGTTAAAGTGATTAAATTAAATCTCCCCACAGTTTGTAAGCATTCAGTATTTTCCTTTAAACAAAAAAAAAAAAAAATAGGTTTTGACATCTGAAACATTCTTTTTAAAAAACTTTTGAACTCCTTCAAAGTGATGTGAAATGCTCAGGAACACCTGTCCTTAAGGACTTACACAAATTCAGTAAATGATTCTTTTAGTTTTTTTAATTTTTGTGATTATAATATAATTACAATCTTTCTCCCTTCCCTCTCCCCTTCAAACCCTTCCACTTCCCCTCTCTCTTTCAAAATCAAAGCCTCTATTTTTATTCATTGTTATTGCATGCATAGATGTATACACACATATTCCTAATATTCAAGACACTAAAATATTGAAAAATTATGACTATAAGCAAAGAAACCACACCGTTCAGTTTGCCATACACAAATCGCGTTTTGTCATTCATTGCGATAATACACAGTGCATCAGTGTTATCCCAAAGTGGAATACAGGAGGGGAGCATTTGAAATAGTCTTAGCAATAGTATGTGAAGCAATGCAGCTGCTAAAGCAGTTATGACATCACCCAGCCAGTGCACGCACGCTCATTTTAACAGTAAAATGGTCTGGTATCACATTTCTACCTTCAAAATAAAATCCTTTACAAATTCTCTTGAAACACCTGCAAAGTAGACAGAGATCCTTGGTTATATTCCCTCTTACACACAGGCAAAGTGCCCAAGCAAATAAGGCCAGCAGCCATACTTTTCCTTATTTGCTATGAATCTACCTCTTTGTTCTGAATGATCTGTCCAAATAAACAGGTGAGTGTATACAACAAATGCATCTTCCAATTCACAAGGAGCAATAGCTAAATTTGGGAGACTTTTTGGGGGCTCATTGTGATTCAATATGGATTTATTGTGCCTACAATTAAGGAGACTGACTCTGAAACAAGAATTTCATAAAACATGTAAAGTCATTATTTTGTTTATTCATAGCAAGGTTTAGGGGAGAATGTTGTTGCATGGAACACTTTAAAGCTCCCAACTACAGCCTAGAGATTCTAATTAGTTCTTCATATTTTCTTGTTACTTTTTTTAAAATAATAGCATTTATTGTAAAATGTAAATTGTGTCACTTCTCACTTTACTTTTGACAAAATAGTGTTCTTTAAAGTGCTTTAGGAAGGTATAAATCTTTAGCACTCACCATATCGGACTTCAGGGTTACAGAAGGCTAGGAAAGGTGGGCTGCTGGGAGGTGCTGGGGCTACAAGAGTGTCTATACTCTTCCTCTTTTGTTTGAGATCAGCAGAAATCTTGTGGAGACTCAGTCAAACTATGTCTTTTTTGAGAAACCGTTCCTATCTATCGTGTGGGCAGAATTAGGCCGTCTCCTTTGTGTGCTCTAATGGAAATCTCAAATCACATCTGTTGTTAAACACTGCCCTGCAGGACACTATGCACACATAACTTCCCCAGCTCAACCAAGGTGTAAGTCCTCTGTAATGGAGCACCATCCCCCTCTTCCTCAGGTGTATCCCAAATAACATGAGATGTGCTTGTGGAAATGGCTGTGCTCACACCCTGGCATGCTTGGGAACCTCTTAGAAGGCTTTTTGTTTGTTTGTTTGTTTTGAGACAGGATTTCTCTATATAACAGCTCCGGCTGTCCTGGAACTCACTTTGTAGACCAGGGTGGCCTCGAACTCACAGAGATCCCGAGTGCTGGGATTAAAGGTGTGTGTGCCACCACCACCCAGCATTAGAAGGCTTTTTGATTTGATTATTATTGTATAAAACAGTGATTTGATGCTAACTTAAGATGTGGGGATCTGCATTGGAGGGTGTGCAGCAATTTATAAACATTATGACAATAACAGAAACCATTAAGATAACCTTTAAACTCATAATGCCTGGCAGATCTAAGGCGAGCAATAAACATTCACTGAATCTAGAAAGGAGATCCCTGAAGCCTGGAGTTTCAATGGGACTTTCCACCTATCCCAGACCTCAGACCTCGAATGAAAACACTGGCTTCCTAGCTATCCATACAGGCCTGGGCTTCCCAAGACCCAGTTCTCTAAGAGAGAGAAAGAAGGCCTTCACTTGAGAAGTCAATTGAATTCCCCTTTTTTTCTCTTTAATATAACCCAGCCTTCTGAATGCCAGTGTCTTCACAGACAACACCAGGGCAGGCTGATGTCTACAAGGCTCTCTAGTTGATCATCCCTGCTCTCCTTACTGCTCTGCACACAGGGTCTCTTCTAGAGAGGTGCCTTCCCCTGCCATGGTACAGGAGGAGCTTGCTCAGAAAGACCAAGTCAATCCCTGGCCCTGATTTTGATTTAGTGACTGCATTGCCCCCATTAAAGTTAATCCAGGAGACCACAGCATCCCTGAACAGGAGAGAAGGCTACTGAACAAGCAGACAGGAACTCATCCTTATCAGCCTATTTCCTGGTCCCTCTTCTCCTAGCCTCAAACCTGAGCCATTTACACAACTAGCCTAGCCTGTCCCTCCTACAATGAGGCAGTGGAGTTTGGAGGTGAAAGGAACTTGGATCTTGGCATCATTCCTTCCTAGTTGTGGGGAAAATCACCACACTTGTCTGCATGGTGCATAGGTTCTCCCATACAGATGATGAGAGTTGCCTCTCGTCACATGTGATGTAAGGATAGTGGACGCAGTGTCAAAACGTCTTCTGCTCTGAGCACAAGCAAAGATGATACCATAGACTGGAGGGAAGGGTAAGCCCCAACCTCACTTAAGGGAGCCAGTCTGGAACAAAACCAACAAATTAAGCAAACAAATCCTTTATCAGCAGGTTGCAGAGTGTCTCAGGTTTTCAGTAATCTGCCCTTTAGAACTTAAGACTTTTTATGTTACTTTAACAGATGAACTGTTACTTTTACTACTAACCCAGAAGCATTTGGTTTTAAAAATACCATCCAAACAGGTGAATAAAGCGGCATTTCTGTTTTACCCAGAAACAAATCTGAAACCACTAATAGTGTTCAAAACAGTAACACCGAAGAGCTGGGGGCAGTGCTGAAGTGAGAAAGTGATGTTCTACCGGGCCTCTAGGAGGGTAATTGAAACTTAGGAGCCAGAGTCCCTCCTGTAGGCAGGGACAGATGCCACCCAACTGAGAGTACCCTGGAGTTAGCTGTGCACAGCTACTGGCTGTCACAGGCAGGGGGAGGGGAGCCCTTCTGCTAAGGAAGGTAGGAGAAAAGCTTCGCACTGATCCACCAGTGAAAAAAGATAACCCTGATTACTGACATCACCCCTGCTTTTTTCTTGAACCCCAAGATTGCCCAGACTCCTGAGAGCCCAAAGCAGCTCTAAGGATTGGCATGTAGGCTTCCTGGAGATGTTACCAGTCTTTCCTCGACGGTAGCGACTCTCAAACCAAACGCTCCAAAAGTTTTTAAAACTAATTTTCACGACAGACCAGTGCAATCTGAATGTATGGAGTGGGAGCTGAACACTGGAGGAAGGAGGAGCAGTTTGTTTTGCTTGTTTGATGTTTAATCCCAAATGATTTCATTGTGTAGTTAAGTTTGGGAAACTGAGTCTTACACCCCCTCCAACAGAGGCGCCCTCAGCACCAACCCCCAACTCCAACTTGGATGCCGATGACATCAACAGCAAGCGCAGACCTGACTCTTGGAACCCGAGCGGCTGGATTTTGAAATTGTGCAATTAAACCTTCTGAGGCATGTTTCTCGTGTCAAGTGGGTTTATGGTCGGGTAGTCATGAAGCCAGACTTGTCATGTTCCGTCTGGACAGTTGGCACATGTGATCCAAGGACATCAATCCGTTTCTTTTTAATTAAGGGTTATATTTTGGTTGGCCCAATATCAATCACTTCATAAGGGCAAAAAGAAAAAAAAAAAGAAAAGAAAAATCCCAAGAGGAAAAGTCTCAAATAGCAAGGAGAAAGTTTGCTGTGGGCTTCATTTTGAAACACCAAGGGTGAAGCACTCACAAGCCCCAGCTGTCACAGGGCCCTCAGCCATACCATTGCAAAGCCAAGAGATGCTGCTACCCATGCCCAAGTCCTCACGGCTGGGAAAGGGCAAACTTCGGGGATCCCAGGGAAGCAGCCACCCAGCGAGACTAGCTTCAGTCTGGCAGGGAGCCCTGGTCCCCAACCAGTGCACCTAGCCTGGCAGGTCCCTGGCGTACTGTACTGTGTGACCAAGAGGCGGGACCGACCCACCTCACCGCCCCCCCCCCACCCCCGCCTCCCCGCGCGCCCTCTTTTTTGCTAGCGGAGAAGCAAATCACCACCAACACACCATTCTCTCCTAGGGGTCCCAGGTGGTTAGTCACAGAGACGTCGCCCACACTTCCAGGTCATTGCTGCAGCTCCACACCCTCGAAAGGGCATGCAGGAATCTGCGAAACCCTTTGAGACTCCGGCTGCCAGGCTCTAAGAGAACCGGGGCTGAGTAGAGAGGTGCGGGAGGGCGCGCTCAAGAAACCGCCTGTCTCAGAGATCCCAGCCTTGCCTGGAGCGCGCTGGTCCTTCCTCCAGTCCCTAAACTCTGGGACTGTGCGGGTGGGACTTGCTCGCCCCGCGAACGGACCTGGGGTCTCTCTAGCTCGCTCTGACAGTACTGGGCGCACGTGCGCCGATGCCAGGCGCTGCCCCGCACCACGTTTCCGCTCCCGGACGCCTACTGAGCGCAGAAAAGTGAGGCAACAAAGTTGGGAGCGGTCGAGAGCCCCGGAGCGCACAGCGGCGGTTCCCACGCTATGCTGGCAGCCCCTCTCTTGTTCCCAACCCGGTCTCCCTTCCTTCGGCCGCCCCAGTTTCGCCCATTCCAGACACGAAACGTCCAGTTCCTCCCACGGTCCCAGCCGATCCTCTGGGAGACAGCAGAGGAGGGGCGGGTGGCTGGATCGCAGAGTCCCGCACCGACGGCCAGGGCTCGGCGAGCGCTCTCCGCAGGGGGTGCGGGCCAGCGGGACACGCCCTTACCTTTCTTTTCCTCCAGGGCCCCACCTGCGGCGCAGAGCGAGGCCAGTAGCAATAGCAGCGCGGTTCCCGTGGTCCCCGAGGGTCCCATCTCTGCCCAGGAGAGGCTGGTTTCGGCTCTCCGGGATTAATCCGAGACAGACGGAGTTCCACGGTCTGCGCGGTGACTGCGTACGCAACGACGCGACCCGGACTCAGGCGCGCGTCCAGGTGACCCGGCTTCGGCGGTCTGGGAGGCCGTGTCCTCTGGGACACGTTCCAGACGCCCTGGCCCGGGGCGAGCGCACTGTGCAGGAAGCAAAGGAAGGCTGCTGCGCGCTGCGCTGGGGCTGCCCAGACGTCTAGCTCGCGCGGGTCGGGACGTGGGGAGGCTGGGCGGGAGGAGGAGGGACTAGAAAGAGGAGGAGGGATAAGGAGGAGCGAGGAGGAGGAGAATGGCAGGAGAGAGGAAGCACTCGCCGTGAGGATCGAAAGCAGGCAGTGACCGGAAGGTGGTGGTGGATGGCCTTGGCCGCCACCCGACCAGGCTCTGGGGCGAGTCCCTGCAGCGTGCAGCAGGGCGGCCGGTGGCCTTTGGGGTTAATTTCTGAGTGGGGACTCCTTTCCGCTGCGTTTCAGGATCTAGGCAGTCCAGCCAAATCTGTGTCAGACCCCCCCCCCCCCCCCCGTCTGTCTCACCTTCTTCCTTCCTTTCTTTCTTCCTTCCCTTCTTTCTTCCAATTTACTGAACAACTCTGAACCACCTCGGGTACAAACTAACTGATCTCTAGAGCACAGGTTGGAAAATGACACATATTCTCCGTAATTCCTCCTGGACAGCGGGATCTTAGCAGGGTCAGGCTGGCTTGGCAGGCAGAGAGGGGGGTGCCAGATGTCTGAAGTGGCACTCAGAAGTCCGAGAGTCCTTCAGATCCCATCAAGAACCCTCCACAGCTTCTGAAAGGAGGGCAGCCAACTCCCAGGGCCTCGGCAAATGTTTGGGAATGCGTGAGTGTTGAGGAGCGAAAACATGGCGTTTTCTACACCAGGAACCAGTCAGGAGTGCTTGGAAAGCAACGCAGTGCTTGGAAGTCAAAGCATGAGACGAATTCCTTTGCAAAAGCAAAGACTTGACACAAACAACAACTGACGGATCGTTAGAGCAGTTAGCTAGGACTCGAGCTAGCCGTGCCACATACGAGCAGGCAAATTGCCGGGTATAAGTTCTCCTAGAATTTGGCCAATAGAAATGATGCTTCCCTGAACGACAGGAATGTCAACTAAATTGCTTCAGCAAAAACCAACTCATGTCACCGCTTCTTAACTGCATTCAACAGCCAGAATCCCTCCGGTCTTCTTCGCAAAATCCCTTGGTCCCCTAATTTAGGCCCTTTTAGGTCTCCTGATTAACAGCAGTCACTGCTAACCAGTGGAGTTCAGGCCAGCCTTTTTCATGCAGCTAAAAGGGAGGTGCTCCCAAACTTTCTTTCCCACCCAGCAAAGAAAGGGCTGCTGCCCAAGTTTTGCAGCTGGCATCCTGGATGGGGGCATTTCACCCAGCCTGTGCAGAGCCCCTCTTTATACCCTGAAACCTTCATTGTGAAGTAGAGCAGGGTTCCTTAAACTTTTCCCACCTGCAACCGTTTTTCGTAGTTTTTATGTGACCTTGGGTAGGGATTTAGATAAAATAGGTGTGCAAACCAAACATCTACTAATGATAGATCATAGTGTAATGTTAAGATAATTCTTTGCATACATATAACTTTACCACTTATTAAAGATTAAATCAAATTTGCATGCTAATGCAATGGATTTGTTTATTGTTACACAAAAATTAGACCTTGACTAAATAATTGATGCTGCAGGACATAGAGCATCTGCAACATTGTTCAGAGTTAATTTAATATTTTGGTTACAGTCCTCAATGCATAAAATGGAAAAAGTATATTTAGGGCCATCTTGGAAATTCCAAATCCCAAGCTAAAATTCAGTTACCATTCTTAAATGAAACTCAGACATTGATTTGAAAAATCAAACGTTCAAACACGGTACAATCCAAACATATCCATTTGAAGCTCATATGCTAAGGGATGATGGTGGGAGAATATTAAAAGTTTTTGTTTTCTGTATTATAACATTATTCTTCTGCAAGAGCCTACAACTGTATGTCAAGTAAAACTTTTACGATCCACACTATATGAGAGTCTTGCATCTGCACTGAGTTTTTGAGCAGCATTTCTTGGTACTCTATGCCGTAACAGCATGCACAGAGCGAGGTGTGCATGATGTGTGTATAGAAGTAAGACTTTGGTGAAGTGTCATGGTGAACCACTGAGGAGTACTGCCAGAAACCCCATTGCAGTCATTGTGTGTTTTGAATTTTTGAATTAAATTTTTGTCATAGCAGTTCAGAAACCCTTTACTGTTGCCAAACATTTTACACCTTCCTCCCAGAGAGGCACACTTGGGGGTGGCACTCATGGGTTTGTTTTCAGCTACATGTTCCAATAATTTGGGTCAGTTTTAAAAGTAGCACAATTATAAGGGGGAAATGATAGAAAAGCAAACAAGAAACCACAGAGCACAGCATGAAGACAGAAATGAGTTTGAAAAAAATCTGCAGACAATGAAGTCTTGCGTCCTCACTTAGAGAGGACCACAAATCTGGCTTGAAATTGTATTTCCTATCAAGAAGTCTAATAAGTGGGACAAGTCATAATGGGCAGATAATGAAACAGAAACAATAGCTGCAATAGATTCTTAAGAATATGTAGAAATTTCTTCCATGCACCCCTAAAGGAGGATTGTCTCCCAAGACTTGAGGATTCTCTCTATGTCAGCTCTATGAAGCAACAAACTTCATGAAACTGTTGGTTAGAATGTCCCTCGGTGTGACCTAATCGCTATCCAGCCCCTAGAAACAAAGCTCCTTCGAGGCCATCAGGAAGGGAGCAGTGGCACTTGGAAGTTACAGAGCACAAAACTAGGATGCCTTCTGTGAAATGAGCTTCCCTTTAGGACAAGTACACGCAGTATGGAATCTCCCAGAACTTCCCCTTAGAACACATACATGCACCATGGAATTGTCTGAACCTTACTTATGAAGAGTAACATTATGAGGAACTTTTACTCATTGGCAAGTCCTGGAATTATTGATGCTTATGTTAAGTAAAGGTGGTCTGGGCAGGCTGGCAGAAATGACTTCTAGAAAGAACAGAGGAGCCTTGCACAGTCAGAGCTTTGCACATAGGCTCTGTGAGAGTAACCCAAGCCGTTACCCAGGTGAAGTATTCTCTGTTGCCACATCATCCAGGAATGGCAACAGCAGTCTAGAATGCTGAACTGTAGTGAGCTGTCGGCATATCTGCTGACCCTTAAGCTAACTTACATTTTTGTTTTCCCTCTTTTAATGTCAGGATGACGCGTGGTTCAGAAAGGATAAAGAACTCTCCGAGTCCTGAGATCTGCTTGCTGATGTGTGATCCAAACATGTTCTTTATTGCCTCTTCTAAACCTGAGCTGAATATTGGCTTCAGGACTCCAGATTCTATTTCATCATATCTCCAAATATTTTTAGATCAAGTGCAACCAAAATTTTTGCTCGGCCAAGGAAAAAAATTCTGAATAAAGTCCAGACATGACATACTAGCAAGCACATGCTAGGATCACTTTCCACAACAAATCTCTCCAGTGTGCCCATCTTTACATCACAAGCTGTTCATTCTCTGCCAGATACACTAGGCAAGCAATTTTTTTTGATGAGTGGCTAAATTAGAAGCTTTTGAGTGGGGTGTGTTGAATAGGAGCTTAATCTTCCCTAAGAGTAACATGGAACTGAATTTCCCCAGTTCATACATTCCATGGAGAAAAAAGACACGTTGGGTGAAGACAGGCAAAGAGGTGAAGGTATGAGGGTCTCCAGTATTTTTGTTCTCCTTCTTGTTTTGGGAATTGATGTTTTCATTTTTATTAGTTGAGAATTTTGTACAACATATTTAACTCACGCTCACCTTCTGCCTCCACTACTTGTCGATCCCATCCTCATTTCCCAACCCACCCAACTTTGTGTCCTTTTTCAATTTGTTTCAAGTACAATTTGTGCCATCCATATACTCTTGGATGCATGGCCTTCATTGGTCAACCCACCAGGACTTCACCCCCTGAAGAAAACTTACTTCTCCTGTCCCAGAAGCTATCAGTTCCTCCCCTAGGGGTGAGACTTTGAGACCACCTCCCTGATCCATGTTAGAATTTTGGCTGCCTTGAGTCTGGCCTGGTCTTGTACATCCTGTCTCAAGTGCTCAGACTTCATATGTGCATCTGCCCTGCCGTGTCCAGATGACAATGTTTCCTTTTAGCCATCCAAGGTCTCTGGCTCTTCAAATCTTTCTGCCTCTTCCGCAATGATCCGTGAGCCTTGGGCTTCTAATATTTTAAGTTATATCTTAGCTCGTTCCTGTTTTCTTTTTCTTTTTTCCTTTTTTTTTAGCCTTAGGAGGAAAAGTGAGGTGTTCACAAAATGCTGGCAACTCTTCAAAATCCCTCTGTGTACCCACACATAATTGGACTCCTCAAATTTCCACAGGGGAACTTGTTATTATCAAATCATTTGTATTGATTTAAATTTACTGTGTTTTTTGTTACTCTTACTTATGAACACATGCATAAAAATTTTTACTTTCGCTGTTATTTTATGATGATTTTGATAAAAATAAAATTTAAATTTAAAAAAAGAAGGAAAAGCAGGGGAGGGAAACAAAAGAGAGGAGCAGATGTCAACATTTACAAACATCTTAGAACTCATATTCTGGACTTATGTCAGAGTAGAATGAACTGAACCCAGAGTATGATGTGTTTCTCTAGAGTATTTTCACACAGGAACAGTAAGTGCTAAGGGAGATTGTGATTCAAATTCTAAAAATTATGAAAAAATGTGCTCTTCTAAAATGGGTTTCCATTTAAAGGTGTATGCATATAATAGCTCTTACAGATGTATTCAAAGGAGACCCAAGAATCTGATAACAATTTTGCATCAAGAGAGCTGTTGGCTATTAAGGGTCGGAAGGGGAGTTATTTTTCCATCGTTTGTCCCTTTCCACACTTAGAATTTTGTCCTATGAATACTTAGGCCTGCTCCTGTATGACATCACTACCCTCAGCTGGTCCCTGCTGATATTTACTGGCCCTAGGATAGCAGGCTTTCCTGCTGTTCTGGGCCATGTATCCATTTTTGGGGTGTCATTTGACTCTGAGTGGCCACCCCATGGGAGAAAATGCTGACATAAACTTCCAAAGTGCTTTCCCTCGTCACTAAGATCCAGGAGTGGAGAGTTTCATGAAGCTTCAAAAGACAGAGTCGTCCCTCTGTCCTCACAACAAGAGTTGGCATCTCTTAGAATCATCCGTCAGAGAAGTGGGGTTGAGAGGCAAACCCCTCCCCTCAAATCTGGCACAGAGAGGAGGACACAGGGAAGTGCAGCTCACAAAGGAACCAGTACACTGATAGGAACCCCTACATGGAATCGACACATGC